ACAAAAAATGACAAACACTCCCCACATGCTCAGAAATTGTCAAAAGATCGTCCCCTGACGATTTTTTGGGCGATTCATTTTTGGATAGTCCCCCTGTAGTGGGACAGGCCCGACTCAACTATAGCCTTGTCGTGGGCCCGTCGGAGCAGCGGCGGCCTGGTCCGAGGCGGTCGGAGGCCTCCCGAGCACATTCCTGAACCAGCGTCCCCACCGCAAGCCAACCTCGCGACGCGTCTCCGTGGAGCATGCGCCCTCCTCCCTCCTCCCTCTGCCCTCCGCCCTCTCTCCTCGCGCCCTCCCTTCCCAACCCCCAGCTCCTCCTCCATACTCCTCCGCGGGCCTCTTTCTGGCCACGCCGTGGCTCGTTTTAATCATTCAGAGCGCAGAAGGGGGATTTGCTGGCGTCCCTCTGCCTTCTATCGTTGTATCCTCTGCCGTGCTCAGTCCTCCTCAGACCTCCTTCGTACTCCTCCTCTCCTCCTCGTCCTCGTCCTCTTCCTCGTCCTCGCCCTCGTCCTCCTCCTGCTCCATAGGGCGTATGGAAGAGGCCGACGATGACAAAGACCCGCGGAGCACCGAAACAGCAGCACCTCGGGAAAGGCCACGCTGGCGCGCGCGCACACTTGCAAGGGAGACCAGGGGCACCACGGCTCCCACCTCGGTCGTCGTCAGCTACGGTCTTGGAATCAGCCCGTGCGAGAAGGGGAAGAACCCGCACCCGGTTACGGCCCCGGTCCCCGGTTCCGGCCCCGGCCCCGCCGGCCGCGGCTGGTCCCAGCCCCGGCCCCGGCCCCAGTCCAGCCCCTGTAGGTAGCTCACCGAAGGCCCCAAGTGGCATTGTTTGCAGGCGGCCCCCCCCGCGTTGGCACAACCCTCACACGTTTCGTGGCCCCATGGCGAGCTCCATCGAAGGCCTCCGTGGCATGGTTCGCACGCCGTCCCCCTCCCTTTGGCATGCCCGTCACGCGTTTCGTGGCCCTTTGAGGGAGCTCCACCGAAGGTCCAAGTGGCACGGTTCGCATACCACGCACGTTCCGGGGCCCCACAGGGAGTTCCACCGAAGGCCAGAGTGGCATAGTTCGCACGCCGCCCTCCTCTCCACTTTGGCACAAACTTCATACGCTGCGTGGCCCCATAGCGAGCTCCACCGAAGGCCCCCGTGGCATGGTTCGCATGCCGTCCCCCCTCCACTTTGGCGCACCCCTCACACGTTTCGTGGCCCCACAGGGAGCTCCACCGATAACCCCAGTGGCATGGTTCGCATGCCGCCCCCCTCCATTTCGGCACCCCTCACACGTTTCGTGGCCCCACAGGGAGCTCCACCGAAGGCCCCAGCGGCATGGTTCGCATGCCGCCCCCCTCCATTTCGGTACCCCTCACACGTTTCGTGGCCCTACAGGTAGCTCACCGTAGATCCCAAATTGTATGGTTTGCAGGTGGCCCCCTCTAGTTTGGCACACCCCGCAGACGGTTCGTGGCCCCACAGTGAGCTCCACCGAAAGCCCAGCAGCAGCGCCCGCATGGCGGCCCCGCACCATTGCGGCGCACCTTTCGCGCGGTTCGTGCCCATAGGGAGCTCCACCGAAGGCAATTCCTATGATGGCGGTATTCACAACTGCATATGGTTGTATCCTTCCCCGGGATGTTTCCCCAACCCTCCTGCGTTGGGTACTCCTTTGAAACCGAGCACAACCCGCGCGTCTTCTCCTCCCGCCTTCTGCCTCCTCTCATTTTTTCTCCTGCATCTCACCTCGCTCCCCCCTGCGTGCTAGCTTGCCTGCTACCTGGCCATCCCTGGGGGGGTGGCGATCTGCGAAACAGTCGCCACTTTCGAAGGGCAGCTGGGGGGTGCAGCGGAACGACGTCTTACGCGGACCACCAGGAGACCTTGCCATCCCCTGGGGGGGCTGCGATATGCGAAACTGTCGCAATGTCGAAAATTGCTTCGGGGTGCAGCGGAGTGACGTCTTTCGCGGACCACCGAGACCTTGCCATCCCTTGGGGGCTGCGATCAGCGAAAATGCCGTCACTTTCGAAGGGTTGCTGGGGGGTGCAGCGGAGTGACCTCTTACGCGGACCACCAGGGGACCTCGCCATCCTTGGGGGGCGGCAGTAAACGAAAACGCCGCCATTCTCGAGGGTTGCTGGGGGGTTCAGCGGAGTGACCTCTTACGCGGAGCACCGGGGCACCTCGCCATCCTTGGGGGGCGGCAATGAACGAAAATCGCAATTTTCGAGTGTTGCTGGGGGGTGCAGCGGAGTGACGTCTTTCGCGGACCACCGAGACCTTGCCATCCCTTGGGGGCTGCGGTTTGCGAAACTGTCGCCACTGTCGAGGGCTGCTGGGGCGTGCATCGCAGGGACGTTGTAGGCGGACCACCAAGGGACGTCGCCATCCTTGGGGGGGGTGCGATGTAACGTCGCCGCTGTCGAGGGTTGCGGGGGGTGCAGCGGAGCGACGTCTTACGCGGACCACCAATGGACCTCGCCATCCGCAGGGGGGTTGCGATGTAACGTCGCCGCTGTCGAGGGTTGCGGGGGGTGCAGCGGAGTGACGTTTCACGCGGACCACCAGGACACCGTGCCATCCTTCGGGGGCTGCGATCTGCGAATCGGTCGCCACTTTCGAGGGGGCTGCTGGGGCGTGCAGCGGAAAAACGTCTTACGCAGACCACCAGGAGATCTTGCCATCCCTGGGGGGCTGCTATCCGCGAAACTCTCGCCACTTTAGAAGGTTCCTGGGGGGTCCAGCGGAGTGACGTCTTACGCGGACCACCAGGAGACCTCGCCATCCTTCGGTCCAACAGAGTAACGTCTTTTCCATTACCTGGGGGTTGTTTCGAGTTCCGGAGCCGTCATCAAGGAAGCAAAGAAGCTGGCGGGCGAGCTAGGCCTCGTTCGCATCTTGCACCGACGATAAGCAGGAACAAGTTCAATTATTTGTTCGAGCGCCGCGGCGACATGGCGAAAGCAGCGCTGCATCTTTAGCGTACTGCCGAAACCAGCAGAACTCTTCGGTCTCCTCCCGTCACTTTCGTCGTCGCCCCCTGCCCCCTGCTACCTTCCCTCTGCTGCTGCCGCGCTGACGCTTCGGCCCCCCACGCGTCCAGTCCCTGCCCTTCGTTCCAGCCCCCATGTCCTCCTCAAGCCTGGGCCCTCGCTCCTCGTCGTTATCTTGTTGTCCTGTGAATCGTGCCACGTGAGTGCGTCCTTGGCGGCGTGCACAACATATAACGGCGCCTGCACTGTCAGTGTCCTGGCAAGTTTGGGCCAACTCATATTCTCACTTGATGCAAATGTGTTGGGCACGTCACAAAGATGATTGTCGCTGTTTCCTCACATACAGTCCTGTTGTGGACCAGGCCCACTCCCGTCACCACCAAGACGGCGATCCTTGCTGCAGCGGGGCAGGCGGTGGGACACGCAACGCGACTTCTCACCTGTAAGGTCGGCTGCGGGAAGGGTTCTCAATAGAACACCTCCCCCGTCGAACAGTAGGTGTGGAAAAGAAGTGGCTGCCTCGAGTTATGCTGACTACACATACCATCCACCAGTACCAGGTGTCAACACGCATCCTTGCTCAGACGCTGGGACTCGAAAGGTTTGCCACCACGACCTTCAAGAGCACCGCCTCGAGGATGGGAAAGCCGATGTGCCCCATCCGACTCGACTGGTCTATGCCTGCCTTCCAGAGCATCAGCAAATTACATTACGATCTTCCTCCCCCTTCCTCCTCCTCCGCCTCCTCCTCCTTCTGTCCTCCCTTCCTCCTCAGCAGTCGTCGCTCTCCGCGTCTGATGTGGCGGCTCCTCTGGAGCTGGGCGAAAGGCGCCCGCCGACTTGGTCTCCCAAGTCGTAAGTGTCCTGCTGCCGATGCTGCTTCTTGTCCTCCTTTCCGCGCCCTCCCTCCATCCTTTCCTCCCTCCCCCCCGCCATCCTCGCCATCTTTCCCTGTCCACAAGGATGCGGCCGACCACCCCAGGCCGACCTTCCGCCTCTTCGTCCTCCCCCTCCGCCTCTCGTCCTCCTTCTCCTCCTCCCTCCGCCCCTCCTTCGGAAGCAGCACAGCGCATCGGCACCCCGTCTACAACTCTAGCCCTCAAGCGCCAACCCTGGAAAAAGCAAAAAAGCGGCATAGACATTAACTTGCGGAGATCCGCGCGGATTTCTCGGATCCGCGCTGGGGCCCTCCTCCCTGGCGCGCGGAGCGCTCCAGGGGCGGCGCCGGAGGCGTCGCCAGGGGGGCCCCAGAGCAGACCCGAGAAATCCGCGCGGAGCTCCGAAAGCTTAAGTTTAAGCATGCCTCTTCGCGCGTCTTCGGCTGCGACTCTGGCACCCCAGCGCCGCCTCCTGCGCTCGCCATCGCTCGGACGTCCACCCCCTGTGCATGTTTCGATTCCGTGCCTGTTTTCTTCGCTAAATGATCAGAGATGCGCCTCGATGCTCCTCGCCGAGAAAAAAATGCACACGTCCCAGCGATGCCAGGTGCGTCAGCCCCCGGCGCCGCCCACTTCGCCGCCGCGCCCCCACCCCGCCGGCGCCCCCACCCCGCCGGGGCCGTCCCAGCAGGGCCGCGCGCGCCACGGGGCCAGCCCAGGGCCCTGCACCGCAGCAGCCGCACCAGGCGAGCAGCCGCTGCCGTGCTGCCCGAAGGGCAGGGGCCGCCTCCTCCGGCTTGGCCCGCAGCGACCGCAGGTGGAGGGCCACCGCCCTCCGTCCCTCCCTCCCTCCCTCCTCCCCCTCCTCCTCCCCGTCCTCCCCCTCCGCTTCCCCGTCCATATCCACCTCGGCGTCGTCGTCGCCCTCCTCCTCCTCCTCCTCCTCCTCCTCCTCCTGCTGCTGCTGCGCATCTTCGTCCCCTTCGTGTCTGCGCTTCGCGCGGCGGCGCCAGCTCCTCCCCCGCCTTTCTGGGAGCACCCCGCGCGCTCCGGGAGGGCCGCGCGTGACCGTCCTCGAGCGCGCGCCCTTCCTCGAGCGCGCGCCACCCGCGCCACCCGCGCCTGCTATCATCTTGAGCGTCACGTCGAGCCCGGACTTCGACGTGGCCCGGGCAGACTCTGTGTCGGTGTGCTCGCCCAGCTTACCGGCTGGGGCACGCGGGGCGGGCGCCTCTCTCCGATTGCTGCTGCTCCCCCCCATCCCAGGCTTCCCCCCTCCTCGCCTTCTGCTCATGCCCCCCTCTAGTCTCTTCCCCCCCTCCTCCTCCTCCTCCTCCTCCTCCTCCTCCTCCTCCTCCTCCTCCTCCTCCTCCCGATCCTCCCTCCTCATCATCCCCCCGCCCTTCCCCTCCTCGTCGTGCTCCTCCTGCTGCTGCTGCTCCTCCTCATTCATCCCCCCGCCCTCCCCTTCCTCGTCGTGCTCCTCCTGCTGCTGCTGCTGCTCCTCCTCATTCATCCCCATCTCGTCTCCTCAATCATCTTTATACGAAGTCAACACTTCCTCTTCGTTGCAACTTCTGGCTGGTTTGCAAAATTGGCTCTAGACTCAGAGCCGCGTGCATTCACGTTTCAAGCTTGCCGAGAGGGCGGCTGGTTTTCAAAGCGGGGATCTCGCTGTAGACTTCCTCCAATGCTATATGTGGCACGAAGCTTCCACATGTCAAACAGTCACGCGGATAGAAGGCGGCCTCTTTTCAAACTGAAGCTCTCGCTGGGGATGTCGTAGGAATTGCACGGATGGGTGGAAGACCATCTCCAAAACGAGACTACCGCTTCACATGTTCTTGAACCTGACGTTGCAATAGTTTGGCACCTCGATCTGCTACCAGCATTGGGAAGCCAACTCTTTCTCAAAGAGAAGAGGCCCGGCTGAATGGCAGAGACACGTGGCGCTCGTCCTTCAAGCGCGCGCTCCCCAAAGTGAGCATGACTGCTGCTTAGCAGGGCCTCGCGAAGAGGGGACTTGAGACGTGGGGGTGTGAGGGTGTGCTGCAGCATCGTTGATGTGAGGATATTGGGTTCACTGTGGTTCCCCATCTCCTCCTCCATTCTCGCCTCCCCTCCTCCTCCTCCTCCTCCTCCTCCTCCTCCTCCTCCTCATCCTCATCCTCATCCTCATCCTCATCCTTATCCTCCTGCTCCTCCTCCTCCTCCTCCTCCTCCTCCTCCTCCTCCTCTATAACCCCTCTGTTCCTCCTCCTTTTTCCCCCTCTTCCTCCTGCACATCCTCGTAATCATCGTCCTCCTCCTCCTCCTCCTCCTCCTCCTCTTCGTCCTCCCCCTTCTGCTGTGGTATCTCCCCTCTTACCGTCCACCTGCTCCTCTTCCTCCTCCTCCAGCTCCTCCTCCTCCTCCTCCTCCTCACTGCCCGTCCTCCTCCTTCCTCTCCTCGTCCCCTCGTCCTCGTCGTCGTCGACTTCCTCCTCCTCCTCCTCCTCGTCCTCTCGTCCTCTTCCTCCTCCTCACCGAACGCATACATGCTCATGCAGAAAAACGGTCGTCTTCCTTCCTTTGCCTGCCCTTGCAAGGCTGGGCCAAGCGGCGCGCCCTTTTCTTGGCTCATGGTTGTGATGTCCTCCTCGCGGGAAACTTTCTCCTCGGCGGAAAGATCGACAGTGCTAAAGGGAGCGACGCAAGAGGACGAATAGGAGGAGGAGGAGGAGGAGGAGGAGGAGGAGGAGGAGGAGGAGGAGGAGGAGGAGGAGGAGGAGGAGGATTAGGAGGAGGTGAGGATGATGATGAGGAAGACAAGGAGGCCCAGGGAGAGTCGACGAAGATTGACAGGACGATGAGGCGGAGGACGATGACTGCTGGGAAGAAATGCAGGAGGCAGAACATGTGTGGCAAGCGAGCCCAACTAACTCACAAGAACAGTCCACCGCCCCTCGCTGGAGCACCTTCACCGCGCAAAAACGAATCAATCGAGCACACCTGCCCGGACGCGCACCAGGTTAACACAACGGTTTCCAACTGCGCTGGGGCGAGCGCTCATCCCATGCCTTCGCACCCCATAGCCGAGGTTTATCTAGCCCCTTGGCCCCCAGGGAAAAGGGTAATCATTCAGTTGGAGCTCATGCAAAAGATGGAGGTTACAGTTTAGGAGTGGGGTCCTAGCTTAGGTGTAGCTTCAGACGAAAATGGGTTGAGGAGGAGGGTAAGCAGGAAGGAAGGGGGGAAAGGATGACAAAGAAGAGGAGGCGGAGGAGAACGGAGGTGGATGATGATGATGATGATGATGATGATGCTGATGATGATGACGACGACGATGACGATGACGATGGTGATGACGATGATGATGAAGACGATGCTGATACTGATGAAACTGAGAATGACAACGAGGAGGAGGAGGAAGAGACCGAGCACGAGAACGTTGAACTTCTTGAAGCTCCGACTGCATGTCGTTCTGGCGTTTCTCAACAGTCGCTGTCCGATCCTGAAGGGTACGGATGTCAGCATCAGGTTGGTCAAGCCGTCGCCCTTGGGCACGAAACAACTCAACCACCGTGTTCTTGATGTCCGTGTGAGCGTTATGCATGCTTTGTATTCGGTGCGTGGCTAGATCAATCTGCACCTTGAATACGTTCCGAACGACGGCCTCGATGCCTGCAACAGACTGAGAACCAGGGGTAAATCAAGAGGGTGCGGCAGAAGAAGGCGCCAGGAGGCGGAGGAGGCGGAGGAGGAGGAGGAGGAGGAGGAGGAGGAAGAGGAAGAGGAGAAGGAGGGGGAGGATGAGCACGGCACCGCAGCATGGGGTCCGCTGGATCGAGCCCGCGGAGCTCCCGACAAGCCCGCGGCGCTGGGCGGCGGCTGCGCGCGCCGCTCGTCGAGGCCCCGCGCGCAGTCGGGCAACGAGGCAGCGAACGCCCGCTGCACACCGACGACGGTCGGGCAGGCGGCGCAAGTGGAGCGGAAGCGCGAGCCGCCCCCACCTTCGGCAGAAGAGCTGCCGCGACCGCCCGCTCGAGAGGGAGGGCGGCGGCCTGCTGGGAAGTCGGGTGCAAGCACGGTCAAGAAGCGCCGGGAGGAGAGAGGGGGACAGGAGGGGAAGGACGGCGCGGAGGGGAGAACGTGAGGAATGAGACGCGGCTCAAGCGCAACCCCGTCTGGGCGAGCTGCTTGCTGATAGCCATCGGAGACGGGATGATGAGCGAGGAGGACGAGGAGGTTGCTGGCCGCGAGGCAAGCGCGCGAGGGCCACGTGTGCATGCGCGGAGGCAGGCTTCGGAGGCCTCAGGTCGATCCGACCGCCAGGGGCTATGGACAGCAGGAGACGACTGCTCACACTGGACTGGCTATGAAGGTGGCGCTCCGTCGACGACGCGTCGAGCGGCGCACCGGGGGTAGACGGAAGCCGCCTCCCGCGAGCGGACCCTGCGACAGCGCCCCAACCGCGCCTGCACCTCCTGCGCGAGACCGCCCGCGCGGCGGTGCCTGCCCCATCGGACGTGTCCCCCCCCCGCCGCCGCCCAGGGCCACCGCCAAGGCCGCCCGGGCCTCCCGGGCGTCCGGCTGGAACGCGGCCCGCGCCTTCTGCTTGTCCCAGGCACTCCCGCAGGCGCACGTGCCGCGCTGCCGCCGCAGGGTCCTCGGTCTGCTGCGCGTGCTGCGGGCCTGACCCTGAGCCCCCCGACAGTAGCCCCCCAGGGATAACAAAGGCCGGTGTTCCGGAGGGGAGGAGGGAGAGGGGAGGAGACGGGAGAGGGGGAGGGGGACATTCCGGAACAAGAACAACCACAGTTTCGGACCTACCAAATCCCCATGAAAGCCCGCGTTCGTACACATGAACGTGTACACGTCGACGTGCAGGGTAAGTCCTGCGGCCAGTTCTCCGGCGATGATAAGCCCTGGTGGGAATCACCTTCGGCCTCGCCGCCCCCGCCCGCACACCAAAAATGAGTGTCGGCGGTGGACAAACCTCCCTTTAGTGAACCTCCCCTTAGTGGAAACGGCCTGGGACCGAAACCGACGGACCCGCACCCGCAGAAATGACGGCCGCGACGCCCCCTCGCGAACCGAAAACGGCCAAGTCGCTGGTCGACGCGTCAGGGTAGGAGGTCTGTCCACCCCCGAGAGTGTGCGCAACACTGCCTCGGCCGCGACCGCGCGCGCCTCCCGAGGAGGGAGGGGGGAGGGGGACGGGGAGGGGGAGGAGGGCAAGCTAGGTGCGGCGCTGGCGCGGATGGGCGCGCGAGAAAGATATCCTCAACGACGGAGGCCAAACACCGATCCGAAAATGAGGCCCACGCTGCAGCGGGAGCACGATTCGGAACGATTCCAGGCCGGCGCCTCAGCGAGAGCAGCATTTTACCCAACTCCGGGGAATCCACAGTACGCGGGGGGGTGCCGAATATCTTCCGGACGCCATCAGGGGAAGTGGGAGAGTATTTTCATATTGTGTAATGTGGAGTGGAGGGGGAGGGGGGGGAGGAGAGGAGGGGGAGGAGGAGGAGGATGAGGAGGAGAGGAGGAGGAGGGAGGAGGAGAGGAGGAGGAGGAGGAGGAGGAGGAGGAGGAGGAGGAGGAAGAGGAGGAGGAGGAGGCCTGGCGGACCGCGCGCGCGCCTCGGGCGTCTTGCCCCTCGTCGCCTCCGCGCGCAGCCTGCCGGCCTCGCGCGCCCGACCCTCGCAGGCGCACGCACCGCCTCCGTGCGGCCGGCGTGGTGCTCCGCCGCCTCGTCGACTCGTCGCACCCGGAGGTGCGAGGATATCTTTGTCAGTCTGGCTGCTCTTCCTGGGCTTCGGGGGCCGCGGACCGACACACCGGCGGACGTCTGTGACAGCAGGCCAGGCGCGCGATCGTCTCCACCGCGTCCTCCAGGTCGAGGAGCGCCGCCCTCCGGCCTGCCAGCGGCCGCCGGCGCGGAGTCCCCGCGCGCCCGCGCTCCCAGTCGACGTCCTCCTCCTCCTCCTCCTCCTCCTCCTCCTCCTCCTCCTCCTCCTCCTCCTCCTCCTCCTCCACCTCGGCCGCGCCCCTGCGCGCCAAAGCCCCCGATGTGGCGAGGCGGCGGCGGCGGCGGCCGGGGCGCTGCCGCTTTGGCTGCTGCGCCCGGGGCACGCCGCCCGCCGCGGCTCCAATCGCGGCCATCCACGCGGGGCGGTCCATCCTCGTGAGCGACGAGGGGGCGCTGATGCAGTTGCACGGTGATGGGGCTGAGATGAAATCCTAGGGAATGACTGTAGTGGGCCTCCAACGTCGGCGGGACGAAGCCGCAGTGACAAATGGCGGGGACAGCGGCAACCAGCTCGTGACGACGATGGGCACGATCCATCCAGCAGTAGCCCCGCTGCAGAGCGGCCGCGACGTGCCTCCGCGCCCCCTGCCCCGAGTTGCGAACGCTGTCTGGCAGAAAGCGCACTGGTTGGTCGGGGTCTGATTACCGACCGACGAACGGCAGTTATGGAGAAACGTCTGGTGACCCCGCAAATTAAGCCCTGGCCGCGGCGAATGCCGCGCCGCGGACGCGGCCGTCCGCGGCCATTTCTTGGCAGACGAAGGGCAAGCCCAACACTCCGTCTGGCCGCGGCACGGGCGAGTCAGGAAAAAAAACGTGCTCATGGAAGGTCCACCACAGCCAAACTGCGCCATCTGGGACCACGCGCGCTGGCGGGCAACGAATGCTCTACGCTGCCACCCTCAGCAGCCGCGCGTCCAAGCCCGCGACATCGCGGCCGAGGTCGGGGTTCCCAATGCAGCTCCGCATGGGGGTGGTGGAGATGGGGGGGGCGACCGGCCGCCACTTTCGCAAGCCAGGCGGCACTCCAAGCACTGCCAGACCGCCCTCGGGGTCCGAATTCTGCCTCGACTGCTCGCAAAAACTCTTCCCATGTGTGGCGAAGTTTCTCGATCTCTCCCCTTTCGTCTCAACTTCTCTCGCCCAGACCTGGCGGCGCGCTCCACTTTCCCCCCCCCCCCCCCCCCCCCCGGTGGCGCCGCCCCCATGTTGGAGTCCCGAAACGGTGCGGTCACAGACCGTGCGGTGACCTCGAACCCCCCCAAGACCTCACCGCACGGTCCGTCACCGCACGGTCTTGGAACCCCAGAGGCCCCTGTCGCCCGCGACGTCCTCGGAGAACGACCCGAGTCCCAAGGCCGTGCGGTGACCCCGAATCCCCACCGACTCACCGCACGGTGTGGTCACCGCCCCGTTTGGGGGCCCCCGACCCGTGTGGGGCCGAGGGAGGTCCGTCCGCAGCCGGAGGATATCCCGCGGGCAGACCCACAGATCCGATGTCGTGCTTTTTCAATGCGGGGTGCCCAGAAGTCTCGACCCGTTCCCCGGGACCGGCTTCTCATCCTGAGTCGTTTTTTGACGGCCCTGGGACCCGGCGAGGGCCCCTCGAGGCGATTTTTGCGCCAGAGGAGGGGGAGGAGAGGAGGAGGAGGAGGAGGAGGAGGAGGAGGAGGAGGAGAGGAGGAGGAGGAGGAGGAGGAGGAGGAGGGAGGAGGAGGAGAGGAGGAGGGAGGAGGAGGAGGAGGAGGAGGAGGAGGAGGAGGAGGAGGAGGAGGAGGAGGAGGAGGAGGAGGAGGAGGAGGGAGAACCATGAGCAGCAGAACCATGAGCAGCAAAACGGGGTTCAAGAATCGCCTCAC